TATATCATTGTGCTTTGTCTCATTGGAAATAGTAAGGTACAGCTAGGAAAAATATTGGGGTTTGTCTCCTACACACTTTTGTTACATTTGTTAGAAACCAAGGTTTCTACTCAGAGAGCTACACAATATTGCAGAACAGTGATGTCAAAGAAAGCCATAATATTCAAAATAATACAAATTGATGGTTCGCCCTCATGTGGTGTATTTAGCTCATTTCTAGAAAATAGGAGAGCTTTAGAGATGAGCGAATAAAGTGATTTGGCTACTAGATAAATTTTTACATGAAGAGAGATCAAGAAGACCAGAAATACTGTATTTTAAGAGAAAAAAATTAGGACAGGACATGACACAGATGATGCAAAGGCATTTAAAATAGTAACTATGGATACGCAAGAATGACCATTTCATCTGCACATGTAGTATATGAACAAATGGATGTTTAATGAAAATGGAAGAACAGTGATTTGAGCTAAAGCAAAGAATTTCTGTTTTTCAGACATGTTTACTTAAGACCGTGAAACTAATACCAAGAGGGTACAAAAAAAAAACTCATTAATGTTGTTATATCCAATTGCTTAATGAACAAAAAGTTTAAAAAGTAAAATATAATGGAAAATTCAATCACGATCGAGAAATACGCACTATCTATCCATATTTATATGAAAAAGCATAAAGAAAACAAAGCAATATTTCCACTGATTTTTCTTTTTAGGGTTTATACATGAAATTGTAACTTGAAAAGACAAAAAAAATAATAGCCAGTACCTATGCTTAAACAGAGTTTATAAGGGGAATTTATTTGAAAAACAACAAAAATGCATTTACAAAGTTTTTTATATGAAACGTCAAAATTAAATGTCATTAGATTAGGAAATACAAAAATAAAGGTTGGTATACACCAATGTAGTCTCTCAACATTACCTATGCTCTATAAGACCACAAGACTACAATGAATCTTTGCTAACACTTTTGATCAGAGACTAGAATAGAGAAAGTTTTAAACATTTATTTTCTCCAAAAACAAGAACTGGGATCAGTAAGACAGAGTGAAGATTTTCTGCTGCACACCTTCATTTTATTTCATTTTTATGTGGTTTCAAGTATGATTATTTTTTATTAATTATTAATTTTTAATTTTATTTATTAAAAAAACAATTATACATTTTTATGCATATGAAATTAAATTGTGGATATAGTTAATCTTCAGTTCTGTCTTCATGTCACCTATGTCTTTTGAATTTGCTTGCTTTCTTAAATTTAAATCATACATGTGACTGCTAAAAGCTTGTCTCAAAGGTAATATTTTCATGAGCTAGTTCTAATCATTCCAAGAAACACACACACACATTTTATGTAATCTTTTATGGCCAGGTTCATTGATATGCTGTGGCTGTTTTATGCTACTCTGGAGTAGAGCAAAGCAGCAAGAGCATACTGGCTGTTTAACCTAAACTTACAGCTCCTTTGTCGAATAAAGTAGTGAGAAGTGGTTGGAAGGCACACCTCAGTTTCCTTCTGTCTCTTGCTTCTCTCTCCTTTTCCTAAACACATTTTTTTCCACTGCCTCCTGCGTCTTCTATATTGTCCTCTATGGAAACACATCTCTCCTACCCTCTGTAAACTCCAAGTACACACATATACATGTATGCATGGTACAACACAGGCCTGAGCCTTTGTCTGCTGCCTCCTTTACTAAGCACACCTGGTAAAATGTGGAGCTTATGAAAATAATTATTTGACCATTAGTAGCTGACTATTGCTCTTATTTTTTTTATATAGCTCTTGGCAAAAGAAAGGAGATTACATCCTCATAAACCTGAGTGTAGAATCATCCTTTTTCAAAAATAGCCACCATCTTCTACTGTTTATAAAGAGATTAGACCATATTTAACCTGAATAGGTAGAGAAAAATGATGAAACAAAACTCTCTAGAGGCAAAGATACATCAGGCCTTAAAAATAATGGAAAAGAGCAGTGCTTTTATTTATCGTAGGACAAAAGAAGATGCCTGTCCTATAGAAAAAGGACATTCTTTCAAGGATTTCCATAGCTAGATCAGTTGCTTAACTATGAGAAACATCCAGCAAACAAAATATTTCTGTCAACATGAAAATGTATAGTGATTCGATTACTGGGCTTCTTTTTCATTGCACAGAAACCTCTCCTGTACATTTCTTACTACCTCCTTGTAGTTAACATCAGCAAATATATTTTCTTAGTAGAGATGGAAAAGAAATAGAATGGAAAGCATATGAAGCAGGAGTCTTCATCTTCAAACATGTAATGGCCATTATATTTGACTTTGCACTAGAAGGAGTTAGTTTAAGAATGCAACAAAGACTTTTCATGTAGCACTGAAATCAAAATGGTAGACAAAAACCAACACCATAAGTTTTCCTGTTTCCCACTAGAGTCCCACTTGAGCCATCCACTCAACATGCCTTTGAAGTGATTATTCTGTGCTATGCCTCTAACTCATCTTCAACTTTTCTGCTTTTTTACATACAAAAGTTGCTTTTTCCTGAAGAAATAGTTGTATTTTCATCAGACAGTTTGGAGGCAGAAAAAAATGTTGGTCTCAAATTCTGTGGACATTATCATTCAGAAGGATCTCTGCTGTGAAATTCGACAGTGAGTCAAGCATAACGAGCTACGTAGTGTCATGGTTGCTGACAGTTCAAATATGTGCTTGGTGCAATTCTCAGAAGTTCTAGACTCTGCTGGTGAGAAAGTGGCTGTTATGTGTAGCCCCTAGAGAAATTCAGACCATTTTAATGCAAATGTCTTGGCTCCTAGGAACTCAAAGGATTAGGCTCTCAAGGCCTCAGAAATCACTAGGCTTTGGCTTCTCTCCAGATAGGCTCCACCCATATGCTATTCAGACCTTAGTTACTTTGGAGAGGACCTTTGCCAACAACCTCTCTTGCCTTCACTGGGCACTGCATAACCGCCCTGTCTGCTGGAGAGGAGGTATGAAGAGAAAAGCACTACAGAGGGGCACAGGATGTAGACAAATATTTCCTGTCATTCCTAGTCTTTTGGAGAAAAGGAAAATAGCAGTAACTATTGTAATCAGTCAACAAAATTGAATTCCTAAAAATTTAATAAATAAAAAAATAAAAACCTATTAACTATTTAACACAAGATACAACCTTCACATTAATTACAAAATTAATCATGAAGTTATGTAGATGTATTTAAAATAACAGCAATACATTTTGCACCATCAACAATTATTTTAAGGGAGATCCTAAACTTTACTTTGAATTTATATGCACTACACATATATATATATCATTAAGGACTTATTTTAGGCGTATGTCTGCAAATAATTAGTCAGTGTGCAGTAGCTTACATGTATTTTATGTTTCTGAATAGTGCTGTTTTGCTCAGGCACAGAGATTGAAATTCCCTCTAACTCTGAAGTAGAGCAATAGGTGCGGCAGCAACACTAGCCACTCCAAACTGTTTGCTAGTGCACTTTACACTACAACTGCAAAGTAGGTATTTGAACAGGTATTATTAAGCCCAGGTATTTGCTGTTGGGATAGCAGGAGTAACAATTCTGGGTGCAGTCTCAGTTATGTGTCTTCTGTTCAACTAGCAGGGACCACCATTCTCCATGGCCTTATATAATTACTGGGACAGGTTGGATCCAAACCAAGAATTTTGGCATGATCATACCAGATATGTTATTATCAGACACTAATGCCAATTATTTGAAACATCCAGTTCTCCAATTTCCATGAAATCTCATCAAAGAGTAAGACAGATATTGGAAAGAGCTTGAGGAAATACTAAGGTGTAGAAAATCTGGAACTTGCCACACACTGTTTGTGGCAATATTTTTAAATATTGGCCAGTTTTGTCAAGAACATTAAGACCTTTTCCACGATGATAATAATAATGCTGTATTCTCAATACATAAAGCTATTTCTGTGTCTAGGGCGTAGACTTAGAATTCAGTTGTGTTATTTATCAGATCCTCTGCATATTAATTTATGGACTCCACAGGAGTGCTTCAGAAAATAAAATAAAATACAATTATACTTTTGATGATATATTTTCAGTAGAATATAATCAAAAGCTATAAAAAGTAAATGGACTGATTCAAACTGAAGTCTTGAAAGTCATTGGAGATACACACTAGTTGTCTCATTGTCTTTCTTGCATATTCTCCTAAATGAAATGTCTTTTCAAACACATAGCGTTTGCCCAGTCTTGAAAGGTGAGTGCCCACTAAACCCTTCCACTTGACTGTATTACAGTGAAAGGAAATTATGTATGTAAGACAAGACTACTGAAAGTCTAAAACAATGTGTTTTAAACTGGTTTTATATCCTCTGGTCCTATGAAAATAAGACTAAATTTTATGAAGCATCACCTATGAAATAACAAAATTTCATTTAGAATAAGCTATTGAAAGCAAAGAGAAATGCATGAAATATTACCTGTCATTCTTACTAAGGCGTTTCATAATCATTGACTTTAAAGTAAATAACACTTTACTGCAATTTATAGAAAAAAACAGTTGGTTAAATTTGTGAGCATCATTACAGACTTACAAGTGAATGAGGGAATCTGGATTTGGACCATACTTTATATTGCTTTCTATCTCCTTTACTTGCATTTAACTGCAGTCAACAGGAACATAAACAGTAATATTCTTCTGCCTGGTATAAACGTTTACATTTAAATATTGTAGGTAGAAAAGCTGGCAGGCTTAAAGTCATTTTACTGGATGTTATAATAATGACAAAATGAGTTAGTGATTGAATCATTAGACTTTTTGTTGTTGTTGTTGTTAATTCTGAGTGGGTGATCATAAAAAATAAATTATCCACTTTTATTATTTACTAGGCTTTTGTATGCTGGGATACCAGGATTAAGTTAGTTTCACCATGGGTCATTCTCCTGTCTCTCAAGATTGCATTACTTCTTATTCATGTGCTTATGTTCTACAACCAATTTTCATAACTTTAAAAGAAAAAGGTACCAACCTGAATGCTGTGAGATACTCAACATCGCCCATAGGAGGATCCAAGCCACCTGTCCAAGCAATATTTATATTATATCCTTCACCAAGGCCACTTCCAACCTGAAAAATAAGAACAAAATGCCAAAAGGAGTGAAGAGGAGGAAAGGGGAGGAGGAAAAGAGAGAGGGGGGAAAAAAAAAAAAGTCTTCTGTGCTTTAGAAACAAACATCAAACAACATGTCAGATCAGCCCAGCCTTGTTTGACAAGGACTGCTCTGGGTTATGCACTTGTTCTCCACTGGTCCCCTGCTCCCAGTGGACAATTTGGTAATCTGGTGTAATTTAAAGAACCAGAGAAGGACAAGAAAATTAGGGGTAATCATGCAATGCAATTACCTGGAAGATACAAATAAAAAGCGGGCTCTAAAGAAATAAACCTAACCTCATTTGGGGCTCCACTGCCAGGGAAGAAGTTGCCTTCATCATAGCGATGGAGGGAAACATACAGGATACTGGGGTCAGCATAAAAAGCCTGCTGTGTACCGTTGCCATGGTGAACATCCTAAAGGAGAAAGAAAACAGATGACAAATGTAATAATGTCCAAGTCAGTGTACAGAGCTCAGTTCTGCTTTCTTTTACCCACCCCCCCCACCCCCTCTCTGTTTCTCTCTCTCTCTCCCTTGCCCTCCTTTTGTCTTTCCCTTTCCCCCTCCCTTCACCACCCCATACTTCCTGAACTTTCAGGCAAATTACTCTTTAATGCACTCATTTTTTAAACTGGCTTCTAAAAATCAGGAAACCATAGCGAGCTTGCCCTGGAGACTCCAGATGAGCAGTCATTGAGAAATCCCAGTCCTTTTGTACAATTAGATATTTATACACCGGCTCTTTGTACTCCTTGCCTCAGTGATGGAATCTAGCATCCTGTTTTATGGAGGAATTTTATGACTTATTAACTGCCAACAGTTCATAACCCCTCAGGCTTAATTAACTAGCCTCATTGGCCTCTGAAGAAAGACTAATGTTTAAACTACAAACTAGTATTTTGCAGAAGGATCTATGGTTTACAGAGGTTTTTCACAATACTTGACAGAACACTAAACATAAGTGTATTCATTGATTTGCCAAGTTCCACTATTGAGGTCAAAGGCTCTGTGACCAGCTGAGTAAATTGGCTTTCTTGAAACATTCAGTTCAGTTAGCAGTCCCTCAGCAGTTAGATCCACATCAAAAGAGATGCCAGATGCAGAAAGGACTTCATACTTCATTTTTGCAAAATCATGACGGCAACAGTTGAAGACATAGGAATATGATCTCATTAGCTATTAAATCATCTGGCAGATAGGATGGTGCCTTCCACAATCAAGGAGTGACCTTGGCCAGTCTCCATATTTCAAACATTATATAACGCCAGTGAAAAGAAATTCTGTCATTAAATAAAATATTGGGAAAAAAATGCTGACAGTATATTTTTATTACAAAAGCGAACTGTGTGGACTTTCCCTCTTTTTAAAGTGTTTCTTTTCACAGTTCTACAATTGTTCTGTGTGGTTAGACACACCCAAAATTTTACAAGAGAAAAGAGAAAATCCACTTGCCTTTCGGTAAAAGAAAACTGAGTCTTTTTTTAAGTTTCTCCACTGGCGTTTGTGAGATGCTGAAAAATTATAGATATCATTGCTGAAAATTATAGGTATCATTGACTCTCCACTCCTTGGAAATTTCTGATTTAGATAATTCAGAAGGGGGACAAAGTCTACTGAATGGCAACAATATCACCTGGAGTGCATTGATTTTACAAATATTATGAGGTCTGAACAGAATTTAGGATCACAAAAACAGTGGTCACATTTTCCTCAGGATGCCTAGACTCCAGGAAGGTTCAAGCTAGGTGTACATTGCCAATGGCACAGCAACCCCTGCCCATGTCTTGCGCTCTATGCCAGCCCATGACTTTCACACACATTGTTCAGAACTCTTTACATTGATTGAGTCTTACTTGTACTGCATTGTGCTTGACTTGGACCTCCTCTGGGACCTCTGAGAGGTAATATTATAACGGTTACTTTTTCTCAGTTGAAAGAACTTGAAACAACATGAGGATGAAGTTACAGCCCAACTGTGACTTAATGCCAAGGTTAAATGTAACACATGTTGAAGGTGCAAGAGAGCACACCATGGTGTGAGGGTGTTGGAGATTTGAAGGCAGCCAGCATAGGGTTAGAGGGCTCTAACTGGCAAATGAAGCAAAATCTGGCATGCAGACTAACCCACAATCCCATCCAGTATTCAAGTGCAAAAAAAATTGTATTTACTCCAAAACAGACCCAGATCATGCAAACATGCATGCAAGTATGGATGACCTTGGAAGAAGTATTCCAACAACAACCTGAGAAGCTATGTTGGCCAAATACAGGTATCTGCAGAGACTATGACTAAAACCATAATAGGACTTCATTTTGTGATTTTAATTAGTCTTTCATTTCCACTTATATTTGGGGCTTTAGGTATACTCTTACTGTAACAGATTTCAAATAAGAAGGAAAAATATTAAATGGGCACACAGAGCTCTTTTTATTTTAATTATTATTATTCAAATCTCAAAGCTAGCTTTCTTGTCTAAACTCAAATTACACCAAGGGTTACTCTGTCTTGAAGAGCAGTAACTTCCCTGGTTAGACAAAGGAATGTGTTGTTTAAGACTGCGGATGTTACCATGTGGGAAATGTGTTCATATTTTGTCCTTAGTAGATCAAATGTATTCAGGGTATATAAATCAGTTCAAAAGGAAGATTTATTCAATTCATGGAATGAGAAAAGAAAAAATGACAGGCCTTTTTTTAGGTGTAAGAAAAAAGAAGGAAAAATCAAAAATTAAAAAAATAAGAATTTATATATGTAAACATGTAGAGGCTATTAAGATTACACAAGATTTGTAACTAGAGTACGTTTTAATGTGTGGGACCAAATATTACTTCTTAACATTTGCATTACAGTAACATGTATAGCTGCCAACAAGCACGGGGTCCTGCTGTGCTAGTCACTATCAAAATACAGCCTTAAAGGTTGATTTCAAGTCTCACAACTGTAATTCCATTCTTTCTTTCAGATGCCTAACACTCTCAGTTAGTGAAAATAAAGGCATCACTATTAACTTGTTAATTAATTCAGTTTGGATTGTGATTTATCCATAGGAAACTTTCCATATGAAATTTTGTACATTGTTGCACTGATCATGGAGTAGAGTGGGGACTGGACTGTAACTGCTCCAGGAATGAAGTAATCTGTGTTAGCCATATATTTCTCCCTTTTCACCAGCTGGGTTGCTCTGGCCAATGGCATAGAGTCAGAGAGAGGCTGAGCATTCTCCATCTGCTTTCCTGGGTGAGGATAGCAGCTTCACAGGTAATCATTTGCACAGGTAACGATTTGCACATTTAACCTTGCCTTGCAAAACTTAAACTGAAGTGCTTATTGGCTGAGTGAGTCAAATGGAAGTGATTTCTTTTCCCAACAAAGTGAATGTAACACTTACAGTCTAAAAGTCTTAAAAACGTTCACAAAAGCAAACTTTGAATAGGTTTTTCTCATTAAAATAACAAGAATAAACACTGAGTTCACTTTTGGCTTACATTTACAGCAGTAAAACTCAACTGTAAGATTCAAATCAGCAAACAGATACAACATACAGTGGAAGGGACTTTTTCAAAAAGTCTGGTTTCTTGAAGTTTATAATTATGTTCCTAAGTAATAGTAGGACACTTAGAAATATTTTTGAAACATTCTAAGAATATCTAACCTACCCATATAGCCATTCTATCACTCATTTTTCACTTGCCCTTCCTTCTCCCGCACTCCCCCTTTCTCTGCTTCTCTTCAACAGTCAGTACGCATATTTAACTGAACAAAAGTGCTAGATGGTAAGGCCATGACTTCACAATAAGATTTAATTATGAGTGCAGATATGAACAAGATTTAGACTATTAAGCCCTGCACTTCAAAAACCCTTTAACATATTTTGTCTTTAAATCTTTTATCACCTGCAAAAATTAATTAAGTGCAGATGTAACAGGTTAGGTTTTGATGCCAGGGTTCATTTCCTGTGTATGCTTTGTCAGACACCCTATTACACCTCCTCATGAACTGTAGGAAAACAAAAATGGTGCTCATAAATCAGCATTCAACTTTCCTTGGGCTGTGCATTGGGCTGATCCTTTAAGTGTAAGGCAGAGCTCCAATTCATTATTCATGAAAAGAATATAGACAACATGCCAAATGCCATTTGCATTTAAATAATCCATTTGTTAAACATATAAAGTATTGTGTAAGATTGCCTTCTATTAAAATACAAGACATATTGAATTAAGTGTATTTTTAATCACATAGCTTTCCTTCAGGGAGCCATCAAAAGCTGGCATACATGACTCGAAAACTTCTTAGAGGGAATGACCTGTTGATTTGTTTAATAATATCGAAGTTACACAAGTCGAATCATTGCTAGCTGAGGGAAGTGGCCAATTTGGTTGCCAAAGCAACAACATTCTTTAAAGCACATCTGACTATTTAAAGTTTGTATTCTGTAGG